TAGTTTTGCCAGCAACTATAAGCCTACAATATTTAAATCGCCTGAATAAGAATCGCAACGTTCAACTTTTAAATCAGGTAAATACGAAAATCGAGATTTGATAATAAAATCGAGATTTTAAAAATGCATAAATACAAAACACGATATTGGATTTTTAAATGTCGTAAATAAGAATCATAATATACGATATTTAAATAGCGTAAATAAGAATCGCAATGCGCAACTTTTAAAGCACGTAAATACGAAAATCGATGATTGATATTAAAATCGCGTGAATAAAAATCGAGATATTTGCAGAGTCAGGACTTCTGATTTCTAATAGGCTTGTTTGTACTATTTTTGTTTAGATATAATAAATAAAAATTCACAAGATTAATTGAATGAGCAAATAAATATTTTCACCGCAAATCCACCTCTATTTTTTTCCTCTTTTTTTGTTTGTTTTCACGCCAGAATACAAGAAGCAGCGACGTCTGAATTACGAAAATACGAGCTATCCAGCCGACGGATAAAAAATAAGGAAAATCTTATTTTCTGTGCGTGAAATCGGAGAAAATAGCTAAAATAAGTAAAAATGCGGAAGGGTTTAGCAGCTAGGGCATAGATTGAATTTTCAGTTTATCTTTGAAAATCGTAAATAAATATAATTATTTTACTTCAATGACTGAATTTTAAAAAAAACGGGATATTTATTTTAGAAAAACGAAACTTTTAGAGAATCGGAGTTTTTGATAAAAAGGCTGAAATTCGAGAGACAAAAAAAATCTCATCCCTGTATAAAGGTCAACCAGTTTTATCCCAAGGAAATGATTTTTAGAGAAACTTCAGAGGGAGCTAGGAAAAGGGACTTCAATAATTTCCCTCCGGGGAAAATTAAATACCTCATAAAATATTTTAACTTGTGCAAAAAAAAATTTCAGCGGAAATTAGCGGAAAAAATGGAAAAATCTGAAAAAAACCGGAAATCCGCGAAAGAATCTCATCCCTGGAATATGAATAACAATTATGGATTCTGAAATCACATGAATATGAAACTAGATATACGATTTTGAAGATGAGAAGAAAAAAACTGGGATATAGAATTTTTAAAACACGTAAATACAAATCACGATTCATAATTTTTAGATCGCGTAAATAAGAATTATGATGCATAATTTTTAGAATGCGTGAATGCGAATCCCAATGCCCTATTCTAAAATCACGTATAAATACGGAAATCAATATTTGATATTATAAACCGCATGAGCAAATCAAGACATTGAATTTTAAATTGGCGTGAATACGAATCGCTACATAGGTTTTTAAAAGGGCGTAAATAAGAATCACAATATCGGATTTTCAAATCTCGTAAATAAGAATCGCAACGTACAATATTCAATTCGCGTGAATAAGAATCACAACACGCAAATATGAAAAGCTATGTTTGATATTAAAATCATTTGAATAAGAATCGAGATATTAGCAGATTCCAGGCTTGGGACCTCTAAAAAGCTTGTCAGAAGCAGCGTCGTTTGAACTACGAAAATCAGATCTATTTGGAGGGCGGGTAAAAAATTTGGAAAATCTTATCTGCTATGTGTAAAAGGGGAAAAATAGCTAAAATAAGTAAAAATAAGAAAGAATGAATAGCTATGTATGTAGTTTGAATTTTCTGTTTCTCTTTGAAAATCGGTGAATTTTTTGAAAAAAGCGGAATACTTATAAAAAAAAAAGTGAAATTTTTAGAAAATCTGAAATTTTGATAAAAAAAAAGCTGAAATTCAAGAAAAAAAAGTGAAAAAAGCGGAAAAATCTCATCCCTGCCTAACACATAAAAAATGTAACGGTTTCTGTTCGAAGTGCCGGCAATGTGAACAAGAGGTGATCGAGACGGGTATCCGATGACACCCCATACCATTACTCCAGGTGACGGGCCATTATTAAGATATCGAATGCAAGCTGCCAATGGGAGTTCTCCACGATGTCGCCAAACACGGATGCGGTCATCATGAATCTGTATACAGAACCTGGATTTGTCTGAAAAGACGACGTCATGCCATTTCTGCGTCCAGGTTCTTCGTTGATCACACCATTAGAAGCGCTCCCGTCTGCGATGCAACGTCAAGGGTAGCCAAAGCCATGGTCGCCGTGCTGACAGTCATTGCTGCTGCAAACGTCGTCCAACTGTTCGTGCAGACATTTGTTGTCTTGCAAATGACCTCATTTGTCGACTCAGCGTTCGTGACGTGGCTGTACGATCCTTTAAGGCCATGTGGACAACGTGTCTATCTTCTAGGCTGTTAGTGATAGGGGGCAGCTGAGATCCTGCACGGCATTCTATATTCCGCTAACAGTCATGAGATCTCGACCAACGCGAGCAGCAATACTTTGGCATGATAAATCGCAATCTCGGTAGGTCACAATGCAACCTCGATCAAACTCAGGCACTTGCTGGTAGCATTTCTCCTTCTTACACGAGGAATAACAAAAACGTTTTTGCTAAAGAACAACGCTGGAATTAAATTTCTGTATGAGAAACATACTGTGCGTGTCGCTACCGCCGCATGTTTTGCATGAATGCTCTGATACGCTAATCATTTGCATACCACAACATGCTTTATCCGTCCTGCAAATTTCACGTTCGTGGAGGAAAAAAATAAAAAGTAATGACTTGAATACGAATGATAAAAATAGCCTTTATTAAAATTCAGTTTTCTCTATTTAAATGCAAAAAAAAGTATAATAGGTATTTTAGAAATTCAGCAAATATAAATGATCTGAAGTTTTTGTTGTTAAATAAAATGCTCAAAAAATGAGTTATTAAAAAATATTAACTGACAAAGAAATGGCAATAACAATAATATTAAAATAATTATGGAAAAATCAGGTCAGAGATATGCATTTTAAAACAAGAAATGGACTCTGTATTTATTTGGGAAATTCCAAGATCATGAGTTTTCACAATTAGTTCAAGATTTTGAGACTATAGATTCCAGGTTTTGAAGTTGGATGCACCTATAATAGGAAAAATATTTTACTTAGATTATTATTTAAATAGGGAAATATAAGTAAATATGTCAAAGGAATTATAAAGTTATTTCAATTTTAAATTTATAACATCATATAATAAATAAATGTTAAAAAATGAGTGGAGTTTATACTTATTTTAACCTTCCTCTACTCAGCTCTTCAATTGCGTACTAGATGAAGACGATTACAAATACCCACACATCTGACCTATGACGTCAGCTGTCTTTTATGAGTAAAATGGCGTGTTAAAGTTGAACTAAGTTTCTCACATAAGTTAGAATGTTAATCAAATACAGCGCCGTACCGAGCATGAAATTTGTTGAAATATAATTATTTCTCGTTTACGTCTTTTACTTAACTTAGATTTATTATTTGTTTATGCATTTTCTTGTAACCAAGATAATTTTTTTTTTGTGTGTGTGTGTACCTGGTATCTTCCATGCATAATTAGTTGATTTATGTTCTACGTGGCTTCGTGCCAGTCTATGTGTTAGGTATGAAATATATAGTAAAAGAATCCCTGAGTAAGAATATATTGTTGTTGTTGTCGTTCATTTACGCCGCACCAGAGCTACCCAATGGGCTATTGGAGACGGTCTGGGAAACATCCCGGAGGATGATCCGCAGACATGCCATCACAATTTTGATCCTCTGCAGAGGGGATGGCATCCTCCACATGGCCCGACGACCTGCATGCGTAGTCAAGCACTTTACGGTAGAACAGTTTAACGAGGACCAATACCGCACACCCTCGGTGCCTACGCAGACTGATCCAAGTGGTCATCCACCCGCATACTGACCGCAGCCAGTGATGCTTGACCTCTGTGATGTGCTGGGAGCCGTGTCTTTATGATCAGTCCATTGCGGGACGAGTAAGAATATATAATGTATGAATTAAGAGAGTTGATACTTGATGGGCTTAGATAACTCGAAATAGAATGGAAAGAACCCTTTGGTTTCCCATAGGATACCTGCAAACGACGTCCTCCGTGAGTAAATCGTGGAATTTATTTACGTCGCGATTCAGTAAATCAAGTTCGACTAACATGCGTGACGTCACTTGCAGTTATCCAGTTAAATCTAATTTGAAAATTGTTTCAGCGTGAAAATAAACTGAGCCTATTAACTGCAATGTTAAAACGCCAAGCTAAACCACGTGATTTCAGCAATATACCCAAGCGGGACTTTCGGTACGTAAATAAGTGAATAAAAATAAGGAGGAAAAGAACTTACTTTGTGGTTTTCCAATCTGATGATAATGTACCTTGTAGTTTCACTATAACTTTACGGCCCCATCTTAGCCAAAGAAATCCAAAAATAACGCAAGCGACAGATTCGACAGAAAAACCATCCACAGTAGTTACGCATTTATGACCGGCAGCCATACATTTCTGTAATAAGAAGGGGAAAAAATTTATAATTTTTTTAATGAAAAAAAAAAAAAAACTAAAACCAAAAATGCATGAGGCATAATGATTTTTTACTATTTGAATTAAATATTTTATACTGTCAATGATTTATATTTAGGAAGCTTAGCAAATAGCCTAGTTCATAGCATTATGTAAGGGGTTCCCGACCTTTTTGTTCATTAAAGCACAATCTAGAATACCGGGTGGACCGCGAGCACCTTTTGCTTTCTCAAGATTAATTTGTAATTGGAATTTGTACTTTTACATAACATTTTAATGAAGTCAAATATATTTATTGTGGTCGAACAATGGCGGGCACGTTGATGCTCGCTGGTATAAGAAATGGGACCCCTGAAAAATTGTTTCGGTATTTTTTATTTTTTCTCCCCTTGTCAGCAAAAGTAAATGACGCACCTCTCTCATAATGCTTACGTAATTTTTTTTTAACTTTCATTGTTTTTTTTAAATATTAATAAACCAGTTTTCAGTAATTTAAAAACTATTTTCTCTATTATCTATTTTAAAAATATTTTTAGAAAAAAGATTGTTGTTATCTGCCGAAGTAACCCTGTACAATGATTATACTTTTGAAGCCTAAGGATTCAAATAAGGAGAAAAAAATTTTACTTACCGATGCTGTTTCTGCATTGTTACAGTTGTAAATAGGATTCTCACATGTCTTATACGTGAGCACATCCACTAACCATAGAGCCACAGTGGATGACCAATTCCTTCCAAGATTAAGGAAGGTATTTAAGATGGTCATATAAGTCCCTCCAATGGCAGGGTCACTCACTCGGTTCAAGAAAGAGCCCACAGAAATATGTAGACAGACGACGACTGCCTAAAATAAATAAAACAAAATTTAGATGCTTTATACAATTGATTTCATAATCAATTGGGGAATATATTGAGAACATGCTAAGATTATGTTAAGAATATACGAGCATGTTCTACACAAGAGGTTTTAAACTCAATTTTGCAGAGGGCCATATATTAAATTTAGAATATGTAGGAGGGCCATATGCAAATAAAAAAAATGTACTGAATTATTATAAAATTTGATTTATCTAATTATATAGTTTATAATATACGGTTATTAAAAATCATATCAAAGTTATAACAGATGGTAATTATTTTGAGCTCGAGGATCCAGATACCTGACTTCTCTTGTTTTTGACAAGCTCATTGATGTCCGGTTTCATATTTGTTATAATTATTTTAAGAATTGATTGGAGATGCTCATTCGTAAGTCTTGCGCGATGTTTGTTCTTATTTATTTTCATGGCGGAAAACATCTGCTCGCATAAATAGGTGCTACCAAACATGCACAGAATGCGTGCTGCATGCTTTTTTAATTCCGGGTATTTATCCAAACTCTTGAAATATTGTGTATAAAATGTAAGAGCGTTAACCTCTTCAAATTTTTCTTTCAAAATACTGTCCGATTGAAGATTTATTAACTCCATTTGCAAATGAACTGGTGCCTGTGAAGCTTCAAAATTGAATGAATTGTTGAAAATTGGGAATTCCGTTTCATTCATTTTGCGGAAGTCTTCAAAACGATTGTTGAATTCCGTGATCAGATTTTGCAGAAGTTGAGAATATTGATTCAATTTTTTTTTTTCGTTCACTGTGCCAAATGATTTTAAATGAGGGAAATGATCCAAAGTTTAATTTTTTACCTGATTTTCCCACAGCCTCAACTTTGTTTCAAAGGCTTGAATAGATTTGAGTGACAATCAGATTTTTACCCTGTAACTTTACATTCAGCTCAGTCAAGTGTTAATTCATATTTACCAAAAAGGCACAATCAATCCACCAGTCATTGTCATAATCAATTGGGTTGCCATTTTCTAACATGGAAGCATGAATGGGGTCACGTAATGGAGAAAATCTTTCTAAAACTACTCCTCGACTGAGCCAACGAACTTCGGTGAAATAAGGGACATCAAAATAATTCTCGTCCAAATCTTGTAAAAACTGCCTGAACTGTCGGTGATTTAGTCCTCTGCTCCTTATAAAATTTACTATTTTAATTATAAGTTTCATGACATGGTCCATTTTTAAATGTTTGAATGCCAATGATTCCTGATGAATTATACAGGGAAATCCCACCAAATTCCCTAATGTTTTCTGTATTAATTTAGTTACAACGGCTGAATGTTTGCCAGCCATGGCAGGAGCGCCATCCGTAGTTGTGCTGCTAAGTATATTCCATTCGAAGATTCCGCTTGTTGCTAAGAAATGGCGTGACTGTCTATCTCTCTCGCTTGTCTAGGCACGCACTGCCCTTGAAATTACTTATAAATGTAGTGTGCACATTTTAAAACTTCCGTAGAGGAATCGAGTTAAGTCTATAAAAGCTCTAAAAAACACGATTCTTCTTTCTGTGACACATCGCGATCGCGGGCCGTATTGATACGAACCGGAGGCCGGATGTGGCCCGCGGGCCGTATCTTTGACATGACTGTTCTACACATTCATAATGAAAACCCCGTGAATTCCCGATTTTAAACCATGTTAAGGCTCATTGCATTAAACTATAAGTATTAAATACAGAACATTAATTTTTTTCTGGTAATAGCATTTGCATAATGTGTTTCTGATAAAAAAAAATTGCATCACTCAGTACTTTTAGTTTTAAATTAAATTTTTGAATAAATGTGGTTGTTATTCATAATTACAACTACATGTAGTTGTTGTTTATAATTATTATTTTCAATGACGTTTTAAGCGTCATAATAATTCCTGCAGCAGAAATGCACAAGTTGTAGAAAACACCCATTTTTCTTTTGGAATTTTTCCGTATTTTTATCAGTTTAAAGCAGTTTTGTTGATAAAGCGATTTCCCCCCGTTTTTCACTCCAATCATTAACGGATTAAAACCGTCAATTGAAATTTTAGTTTTTGCCAAGCTTTAATTTTTCTCCAATCATTTTTTCGATTATTTCCAATGGATGGTGTTTTCAATAGAAATGTACACAATAACAATCTCGAGCTCGGCACATACTCTAGTTCCGGTTAAGAATTTTGCAGCTGCTTACTACATGTTATTCTGATAGGCGATGTTTTCAAACGGATAATTTTGCTTTCAATAAAGGAAATAAATTAGATAATTTCTGAGCTCAAATCTGCTATATTTCATAAGATATTAATGTTAATATGTAATTCTGGTGAGTTTGAAGTGCAAATTTGTTTTAGTTTTTTAAAGATATATTGTTAAAAAAGGTGACATGGTTGCTAGATTTTGAATAACTCGCTTTTTTGGCAGTCTTGATATGGCCTCTTTCCATAAGTTTATTACTGTTTGTTCTTGTTGCAAGCTGTGCACCATCTTACGTTAGTGTTAACACTTTTAGCATTGTAAACACCAGTATTGTTAGCATTGTAAACACAAGTAATAAGTAATCAAATACATTGTTTGCAAGAATCTCAAAACACAATGATGCCAAATGGCTTTAAAATACAACGGAAACAGTAACCCGGAAATTTATGCGATACCGAGCTTGCAGCGTTCCCTAGTGTAGAAAACACCATCCATACTTGTTCGTATTTTTTAGCCATTATTTTATGGTTTTGAACATCATATAAATAAAATTGCGATTCCACTTTATTCTCAAACTTACACAATACTGAAGCGAAATTTTCCCTATTACTATTTCTTCGTAATATAACACTTGAGCCGCAGTGGCTCAGGGAACAATAGATTGTAAAAACTTGTTATGTTACGAGGTAAAAAACCAGTCTGATTATGGATTTTTACGGGGGGAAAAAACTTGTTGCTGTATGGTAAATAACTGCTGAATCTACGGATTTACTTCGTTAATTTTACATTTTAGCACTATTAACTCAACTGCCAATTTAAAACCATAAATTTTACGTTTTTTTCTCTTTCTTGTTTGCTACGTTTTTTTAAGTAATAAAACAATTTTTAAGTAAGAATATCATATTCGTACCTGATGCAGGGTAAAGCTCAAAACTATCACAACATAATAATAAGTGGGAAAACCACCAGATTCCAGTTTAACGTTGTAAGTCCATGAAACTAGGAAAGCAAATAAAACACCAAACAGTAACCTGTTTTAAATATTCAACAAAAAAATTATCAATCATTAATACAAGACTTATAATATGAATAAATATGCAATAAGACACTTCATAATTCATATAACTTTAACTTACTATTTTTTTAGCAGTTTTCCTCTACAAAAAAAAAAAAAAAAAAAAAAAAAAAAAAAAAAAAAAAAAAAAAAAAAAACTGCTTTATAGTACAAATTGGAAAGGTAATTTTTTGAGTTTAGTTTTAATACATATATTTTATCTGAATGTAACCCGCTGTGGCTCAGTGGTTGAGGCACTGAACTGTCCTTGTGAAGAACTGGGATTCGAACCCCTGTAGTGGTGAGAAGCTCAACCCAGCTTCAGATCGATAACTACAAACTTATCTCGGAAGTTGGCCTGTGCACAGTGCTGACCACAGTGCCATATCCACACCGTTGGTCATGAAATTGTGAAGCCTCCATGACACCTCTAGTTACAACGGAATGTAACGGGAATGCCTTACTTTAAAAACCACAGTGTAAATAATAATGTCTAAATTTAACACTTGCGTAAAAAATACATAGAGTATTTTCCAATTGTCGGCCTCAATATTTTTAGAAGGCTTGTTAAAAAAAATAAGGGAAAAAATACATACACTGGTGGACAAAATTAAGAGATGGAAGACATTTTCCCAAATATCTCAAAAAATACTGAATATAAATAAATGAAAATTGGTATGGATATAGCTTATTCCATGATAATAAAGTATGCAAAACAAAAATGAAAGTGCCATTCAATGGCAAGACCTATTGCCAATAAATCCAATGTAGTCTGAACTTAAGGATAAAAGATGACAATAAAAGTGAGGCTTGTACAGTGTGTGTTGCCTCTAGCATGGTGTATGGTCACCCCTGACAGACAGACAGCATGCACAACGAGTATGCATGCTGTTAATAAGGGAGTTAAGGAGGACTTGTGGAAGACCCTCCCATTCTTCCACCAGAGCAATTTTTAACTCCAGAATGGTTCTGGGGGGAGGTTGACGCATCGATATAGCTCTCTCAAGAGCATCTTAAGCATGTTCAATAGGATTTAGGTCAGGGGATTTGGCAGGACAATCCATTCGTTGAATATCCTCGCTTTCCAGATACTCATCAACCATGAGAGCTTTATGTGGTCGCCCATTGTCGTCCATAAAAATGAACTCAGAGCCAACAGCGCCCCTGAAAAGGCACACATAGGGCTCTAGGACCTCCTGCCTGTACCTCTGGGCATTCACGGAACCATTGTCAAACACATGGAGCGGTGTGCGGGTATCTTGCATGTGCGAATGAATGTGCGAAAATGCTTTCCATCTCATTAATTTTGTCCACCAGTGTACATTACAGGTCCTAAATTGATATTTAAATGAGAAAAAAGCAGAAATGTTTTCGAAGTGGGTTTAAAAACACCCAAAACTAGTTTTATTGTTTGATGTAAGTCCCGAGTGCTTCTAATAGTCAGTAACCTACTCTCAGTTTTCTCCAGCAACTAAACAGGTTTGGATGTTTTTAATCTTCCTTCTAATTATTCGTCAGGTTTTGATAATTTTATTTTCATTTTCTTACTTCACTTAAATATTAAATTGTAACCTTTAGTATGTATTGCTTGTAATTTAATTTTTCAACTAGGATTCTAAAGATATACAAGATGTTCCGAAATTAAATTGACGAATTCATAGGGGTGATAAAAGACATCAAGTGGAGGAGAACTTACCATTATACATGGGGTATAGCAAACTACTTTGAAAGGGTGGAAATCGTGAAAACGCGTGCAGGTTCTGAATCTGGGGGGGGGGGCACGCTGGGAGATCTTATTGGCATCTTCGAGCACTTTCAGGAATCGTCTTTTACGCTGTAGACTTGACAATGATGTCAGCAAGCACCGCTACGACGGACAACTCTTGTAATAAATAACCAACCTTTTTGTAGTCAGCAAGTTTGTAGCTTCTTTTTGTAGTTGTTTCCGAGCTGACGTCGACAACTATATGAGTTTTTCGAGGTTTTCATTTTCATGATTTGCGAACTCCATGTTTTATGGTAAGTTTTCATACTCTTCATGCTTTTTATCACCCCCTCTGAATTTTTCAGTGGAATTTTAGATTATTCATATGAAGGACGGGAATTACATAATACTCCGTATGTTGAATTTTCATGTTTTAAAGTTTTGAAACAATTTCTCTATTTTCTTAGTAAAGCAAAGCATTGTATTCTGTCATTATGTTTTTTTGTTCCAGATAATTCTTTAACAATAAGCTTTTTAAAATAGAATAGCTGTTAAAGCATTTTGTTAAAAGTTTATAATTTTTATTTACTTTTTCATTTAAGCTCTTATTTTTTTATTTAACTTTTACTTCACATTTGCACTCTTATGTAGGCAAGAAGAACACATTTTGAAATATGATTTTCCACTGAAAGAAATGTTGGCCTTTATTGAACCATAATATTGTTCGAATTTGCTGCTACCTTAACATAGGCAGCCGCGATGGCTCAAGGAATAGATCATTCACTTTTCAATTAGATGACCCAGGTTCGAATCCCAACGGTGGTTGATTGATACGAATTCTGCTCCCGGATCGCACAGACCACAGTGCTGACTTAAAATATATCCTCTATAGTAAACGGCTCATGGGTTAGTATCCTCTTGTCGTCGTTCTAGCCATGGGGTTGTTTTCATGCTTTTCCTCTCCATGTAAAACAAATGCTTGTTAATTCCATAGAAAAGTCCCCCACGAGTTTTTCCTAAGGCTTTTTCCAGGAATTCTCTTATCCACTGGGCTGGATTCAGAATTAGAAAGTCTGTGAAGTTGAATATTGCGTAAACTCAGAATCAGGTTGTCTGTGCAACGCTGATTATAAGATAGAATAAAACCTTATCTTTGGGCTTAGTTGCACTAAATTATCATACTTTGTAAACTCAATTACACGATATCATATTCAACGACTGGAAAATGGTTTAAATTTACACCGAATTTGGATTGCAGCAAATTTGCCGATAATTATAGTTGAAGACATTATTTCAAAGTTGCGCGATTTTTCTGAGAGTGAGTTGGTTTTGATGCATGGATACTAGATCAATATCTTAAACTTACAACAACTGTCCAAGATCCCTGTTTCGTAAATCACACATGACCAATATAGGCTCAGCCTATACACAAGCTATGCCATTTAAATTAGTTTTTGGATTCTGGATTTCTTTTTGGTATTAAAAATAATTGTTTATGTTCTTCCTTCCCCCTGCTAGCAACACGTGACATATATTCTTAACATCATCAGACACATGGTGACATGACACTTCATTACTCGATGCTTCGGACTTCAAAAGTAAGTGAATGTTAGCACAAAGGCAATGACGAATAATTAATAAAATGTTTATTTGAAACAGATAACTTATTGAAAATACCTGATAAATTAAAAACCACAAATACTTCTTTAGTTAAGTATAATATTTATAATTTATTATTTTATTTATTAATGGTTTATTTTAGCTTTGTATTTCAATGAGTAATTTTTTCGTATTTTCTATTTTTTACTTTTTTAAGAAATCTATTTTCCATCACTACATTTTAAAGCTTTTACGTAGTTTTCAGAAGTAATGTCGCTGAAATTAACTAAACCCATAAGAATTATGGAAAATCCATAGTATAATAGTAAATCCGTAATACTGCTACATTTGGAGTCCAAAGTTAGGAAACTATTTTTAAAGTAATGAAATACAAATTGAAAAGCACATACGTACTTAATAGGAAATGCTTTTAAAAAGACTTTGAAACAGTTGAGTCCCACAGCAAAACGACTAATATAGAGAGAAACGATAACAGCGAATGGCGTCATTGGAATTTCTAAAAGAGCCATAGTCTCTGTGTGAACTCCAGCTTCAATAAATTTGAGTTTGCTCACAGCCTCAACAGCAACAAAAGCTATCTAAATTTTAAAAGAAGCAAAAAGTATCAATAACAGTGAAATTTAAGTAAAATTATAACAGAATATTTTCTTGGCATATTTTTTACATAAACATCGACACATCCATGCCAAATTATCAATTCGTGACATTACATTTATCGAGAAGTCGACGTAATGTTTCTGACAACTTTATTATGAACATTGACCATTGCGTCATTTATGTCACTATTACAAGATGCCCTTTTGGCATCAATTTGAAGAAAACTTCGCTGCACTGCGTTTATTTAGAAGTAAACGCAATCTCTAATTCTCTATGGACTTTGGGCAGTGTTAAGTTATACTATTTGTGTGTTACCAATTGAAATATATTTTCGCGGTTTTGGGTTTATCCGGGCTTTAAGTTGCTCAAAAGCTTTTAAGAGGCGAAAATTTGTTGAAATGACAAGGAATTAGTTAGTTTAGTTTCAGAGATGACGTAGACTTAAATATTCAATCATGTGTGTGTTTACATTTTATTCATTTATTTATTTATTTCATATATTTTAACCCCATTACAAACTTTGTTTAATAGAAACTTTGTCTGTTAGAATTTCTATCTGTTTAGAACAGCGTTTCCTAACCTTTTTGATACAAAGGACCCCTTTTTAAAATTTTTTAAGAAGTCACGGACCACCCCCCTGAGAAAAAAAATTGCAAAAAACATCAATTTTTAGTATTTAATTTAATTTAGCATTTAATTTTATTATTTCAATAGCATATAAAATATTTAAAATTAAAATTTTTAGTTTGAAGGTTGTTGCTGCTTTTCCTTAATTAATAAATTGAATAGAGGGATGGTTTTCGACAACAACGCGCATAACATGTTCATTCAATCGATAACGATGTTTTGTTTTTATTGTCATAACTGTGGAAAGTCCGGCTTCGTTAAGATACACTGTAGCTAACGAAATTATAGCTGAAATAGCTCGCTTTACAAGCAATGGATAGGCTTCTTTCACAGAAGACCAGAACTCTTCGAGTGTTTTTGAATCGAAATCCATTTTTAGCAAGGACTTTGTTCTAAGATCTATAAGCTCATCTTTGGCAAGGTTCATATCATCGATACAGTAAATATCACAAAGAAAAGGAAGACAAATCCACAACTTATCTTTTATCTTTATCTCATCCAATTTAAAATATTTTTTCAATGAAACTTGAAGTACTTCCAGGTGCTCACAGATTTCATTTTTTAAGTTATTCTGTAACAAATTATCTTGCCAAGATCCATTTTCAGAATTCGTCCAACATTTAAAAGTTTGCATATATCTCAATATATATTTTGAATTCTATTTTTTTCAAAGTGGCATCTTCAATTAGAATGCTTGTAATTTCTCAGTTGCATCCATAATGGTATATCGGGTCCTTGGATTAAAAGACTTATATTGTTCATGCGGTTAAAATTATCTGCCAGGTAAGCCAATTTATAGGTAAAATCTTTTTTGTTTATTCGAAGAATGAGTTATCTTTTTCTTCTAGAACAAGTGATAATTCGATCTTCAACATGAAAAATTGTTTCAAAACCTGCCCTCGTGACAGCCAGCGCAATTCCGTGTGGTACAGAAGTACCTCATGCTCTACGTCCATTTCTTGACACAGCGTTTCGAAGAGACGATGATTAAGAGCTCTACGTCTAATAAAATTTACAGTTTTAATAACTTTTGATAATGCTTCTTTTAAGCTGGTTGGAAGAGTTTTTGTAGACAGCTCATGTTTATATAAAAAACAATGAGTAACAAGAACATTAGGAGACTTTTTTTTTACCAACAGGGCAAAACCAGATTTATTGCCAAGCATCACAGGTGCTCCATATGTACGAAGTGAATGAAGTTTTTCTTTCCAGCCGAAGTCTTGTTTGGTAAAGGAAACATTTAATATTGCTAAAACATCAACTGCCTTTGTAGTTTGCAAAAGAGACTCATAAAATAAGAATTCTTCTTTGATAGTATCAAGAGACACGTAACGAACAAAAACAAGAAGTTGACTATAATTCGAGATATCTGTAGTTTCACCCAGTTGCATACTAAAGGGAAATGGCGATACTTTCAATTCATCGATGATCTTTTTCAAGATATTGCAAGAAATTTCAACTATTCTTGACTGTGTCACATCATTTGAAAATGGAATTGCCTCAAGTTTTTTTTCTCTGTTCCAATCTACAAACTAATTCAACCATCTCCAGCGCACATGGCTTAATTAACGTCTCTCCAATAGTATGCGGTTTCTTGCTTTTAGCAATATGATATGCAACTTTGAGAGATGCCTCAACCAGAGATTTTTGTGGAATACCAAATCCAAGTTTGTCTAATGTTCCAGATTTCAAAAACTGGGCTTTCTTCTTAGTAAAAAAGTCTAGATCTAGTAACCTGAACAAGGTGTCAAATGTACGTAGCTTGATAGGAGATAATAAAAATAGTACAGCGGGCGTCATCAGGGGGTTGCCCATGATGGTGCAAACTGAAAGCCGGTTAGTGGAGGATGTTAAAAATATGACAGGGATATTAGAGGGCTGTGTGCAGTCCGTACTGAATTTGGGGTATCTCGATCACCTAGTTTCAAATATGTATGTATTTTCACCTTTTAGAAAGAAAAAAAGATCAATGTTATTTAAATATTACTGATACAAACGTTTTAAAAATTAGGAGTAGTCGGTGGACCCCCAAAATATGACCCATGGACTCCTAAGAGGTCCATGAACCACTGGTTAAGAAACCCTGGTTTAGAAACTATTCCTCTTCATACCATTTTGATTTAGTTGTTATATGCAATTAAATTCTTTACGTCAAAGAATAGAAGTTTGTCCTTTAGTTTCAGAAATGGCGTAGACTTAAATATTCAATCATGTGTGTGTTTACAATTTATTAATTCATTTATTCTTTTATTTTTTTCATATATTGTAATTCTATTTATTAAAAACTTTGTTTAAAAGAAACTTTGTCCGTTAGAATTTCTATCTGTTTAGAAATTATTCCTCTTCATACCATTTGTTTTAGTTGTTAAATATGAAATTAAGTTCCTTACGACAAACCATAGAAGTTTTTCTCCAATCTTCTCTTTTCCTCGGGAAAAAAAAATACAAGCTTAGCAGGTTTTTCCAAAAAGGATAAGGTATACTTTGAGCCACGTAGATTAAAGCCAAAAGCATCAAAGCGAATAAAGAACACATAAAGTGCAGAAATGGACATACTGTAGTTACGATTCTCTAGAATTCCATTAGTAAAAATAGAAAAAGAAAGAAATTCTAATAGTTTCTAAGGTGGCTTCTTAGTCTTAAATCTTCAATCAAGTTTACATTTATTTATTATTTACATTTATTACTTTATTTATTAGTTTACATTTCTTATTTTATTTATTTCAGATCTCTTCTGTCTATTAGAAATTCTGTCCGTTAGAAACTCTGTCTACTTTGAAACTATTCCTCCTCACACCATTTTGTTTTTGCTTGTTATATATGTAATAAAATTATTTTCAATAAATTGCAATATTTTTTTTCTCGAATTTTTTTTAAAGAGAGGATAGAGTACATTCTTTGCTTTATAGATTAATGCAAAAAACAACGTGAATAAAGCATAAATAAAGCACAGAAATGGACATGCTATGCTTTAAATTCTCTAAACAAGAACCTTTCTCAGTGTCTAAACATCAAATATGTTTCCTCGTTGTCTAAACGCAATTTTGTGTCTAAATACTGAGAAAAGCTCTTGTATGCATTTCGGTATTTTATTTGTTCTTTAATCAAGTTGTTTTTTGCTTTAGAGGTTTGCTTTTTAGTTGCAAAAAAACATCTTTTTAAGAGCCTCTGTATGTTTGGCAATTTTTCGATGTTAAAATTTCGACGCAGAGGTAGTTTTTCCTTCTAGCTTCTAAAACAAGGTTTAATTAACTTCTCTTCCACGTTTTAAAATACCTTAAACGGAATTGAAGGTTATCACATTTTTTTAAGCGCGTTTAAACCCCTAAACCTGATATCAAAAGTTTATAAAACAGTTTCAGCAAAAAATAATAATAATAAATACAGCTCAAATGTACTGCCACAACATTAAAAGAGAAAATTTTGTAAGATTCGCCATATTAATTCAATACATAAAAAAAAATTGCTCATGACAGTTGACACCTGGGCAAATAATATGTCACCTGGAGTTGAGTGCCATCGTGAGGGTATATGTCCATACTGATGTCCTCGCTGAAATAAATGTCGCTATGTTTGATATACATAAATAAAAATATGTACGAAGCTTTTTCTGTTTTGAAATGAATTTAAGTATCCACTGGGTGAAAATATGAAATTTCGACGAAAATCTCGATTTTTTATATAATTATTATTCTTATTTGAACTTTAGTTCATTAGCTTTCCAAAACACTTTAAATTTTCAGTTTCTAATTTTTACAAATAAAGTTATAATAGTTTTTTCGTATGTTAAATTTTAAGTTTCTAATTTTTACAAATAAAGTTATACTAATAGTTTTTTCGTAAGTTAAATTTTCAGTTTCTAATTTTTACAAATAAAGTTATACCAATAGTTTTTTCGTATTGCTGACAGACGAAACCGGAGTCGGAAGTTAACTCCAGAAAACGAAACTAAAACGTTTTTAGTTATGCTTTGAGCATTTTAACCGTTTTTTATTTGAATAAATTATACTAAGACAAACAAAATTCATTTTCAGGAATTAATTTTGAAATTATTAATTTTATAGCTTACAGAATTTGTTTTTTTTTTTTACATTTTAATTGCATTTTCAGAAGAGCGTTGGTTTTTGGTTATGCTTTGAGTATTTTAACCGTTTTTTATTTGAATAAATTATATTTAAGACAAACAAAATTCATTTTCAGGAATTAATTTTGAAATTATTAATTTTATTGCTTGCAGAATTTTTTTACATTTTAAATGAATTTTCTGAAGAACGTTGGTTTTGAGAAGAAAAAAAAGTTTACGCTAACACACATGACAAAAAAAGTTTACTATAGAATTCTTTGAAATTTTTTATGCACATTTTGTATAATGTAAACGATGTTTTGAATTAAAAGGTCTTAGTGTGAATCCAATATTTTTTATCAAGCTTTATGTTAGAATATTTTGAATTTTTCTTTATAAGTTCAAGATTAAAGAGAATATGTATAGTTTTATTTCATTATTTTTTTGATATTTTTTTTAAAAAAGATTTTAGTTCAAGACACAAGCAACCATATCATTCGCTGATCTAGAAAAAAAAATTATTTTGAAATTTATGCATTACAATTTGTTGTAGAGCTGTAAGCTGTTAGCGTGTCATGAAAAATTTGTAACTTTTAAGGGGAGACGGTACGGCATATATCAATAATGCTAAAACTGACCTTTTCTAAGAAACTACTTATGCTTTGAAAACTTTTGGGGAATTAAGATTAAATCAGTTGCATGCTGTGATAATGTTTTAGCTTTAACAGGAATATTTCTTGAGTTATGAAAGATTTTTGAACAAAAATGATAAAACTTGTTAAAAAATTAAAAGTTTTTAATTTTTAAAAAAAATTTCTGTCTAAATGTGTATTAACAGTTATAACAGTGTAAACATGTATATTAAATATTCTGTGAAACAAAACTGAAATAATATCTTATTTACATGCTGAGAAAAGATACATCGTAAAAGGTCAGTTTTACCATTGCTGGTATATACCTTACTGACTCCCCTAAAACTCAAGTTCGCCCATATTTTGAAAAATATTTTATAATTTTTTTTTTTAAATTTACGTAAAATTTATAATTAAAGGACCTCTGATCATCAAACATGGAATTAAAATTTTAAATAAGCCTTTCTTTAAAAAAATATGTTGGCACCAATCAGATACCTTTAATATTTTTAATTCATTAGTTAAAACATTATAGTCTGTACGTTTGAAATCAAAAACCCATCGTGTTTATTTAAAATACTATAGAATTGGGAAAGGTGGAAATAAATCTTTATTAATTTTTTTACCACTTAGGGAATTTACTTTCTTTTGGGAAAAAACAGTACAATATATATTTGGAAAAATAAATTTGTCACATTAAATATGAAGAATTTGGAAGTCCTTTTTGATAAGTTGTTTAAATTTAATTTCAAAAAATTTTTTTTTTAAAGTTTCATTCCAAAAATGAAGAACTAAAAAAAATTGTAGAGTAATAAAAAAAAAGTTTATATATATAATTTACACAAACGGCGGCGCAATCGCTAACACAATATCATTAGATTTGTTCAGCTGATTCCGATGAGATATTTTCCATTACGTTTACTTTTTTCTAACCCAGATGTTTTGGTAAGAAAGAAAAATTTCTCTTCTCTCCTTTTTATCACTAACAAAAAGTAATATAAAAAAGTAGAGATAGGAGGAAGAAAGATATATTACCGCCGATTTACTATTTTGTCCATTTAACTGATTAGCCGATTCACTGATTCGCACATTCAATTGTGTCGACGTTAAAGTTGTGTTATTATTGATTTGGTTATTTTATTGCTCTTATTTATTTATTAATCTCTCCATATCAAAATCATTCATAACAGAAAATATTTCTCAAGATTAAATGTTCATCATCGTATTTATTTCTAATATTCAATTATAGGTCGTGAGTTGTTTATTTTTACTGATAAGAGAAAGGGGTAAGAGTAATACATTATTAATTCCCTATATCGAAAACGAAACGCCTGAAAATGCGAAAATATTTTATAATTTTTTTTAAAAAAATTCTATTTTTTTTCTTTTCTAGCACATTAGTCTTTCTTTATAAGTAGTTATAAACGAGACATTTTGCCATTGTATTTTTAATTTTAAGAAAATAAAACATCAAAATTTAGACTTACCATGGTTTCACAATATGCTTTGAATACATTACAGAATACGTCATCTCCCACGAAAGTTATTTATAATAGCCAATTTACTAGTTATTAACTCTTCTGTTAAATATACAAAATTACATTTTAACTTATAACTTTTAACTTATAACTTTTTAACTTATAACTTTTTAATTTATAACTTATAAATTTTTAACTTTTAACTTATAACTTATAATTTTCAACTTAATAACTTTTAACTTATAATTTTCAGCTTAATAACTTATAACTTTTTTATTTTCTGTGTTCATAGATTTATATCTGCATAATCATTGTAGTTAATTTAATATCTTTCGGTAATTGAACTTTTTTAAGCGATTTTAATTTAAATGATTTAATACGTTCTAGCATCGCCTGTTCTTCCAACTTTATTTACACTGACATTGGTGTTTTTTATTGTCACTTTTATAAGTTTTATTAGTTTTGACAGTAAACCAAACCTGTGCGTCGTTTCGTACTGTTTTTTTACTGTTGTTAGTAATGCTCTCTTGAAAGTCGATACAAAGCATATATAAAATCTATTTCGTATTCATAAAACTTTTCCATAATCTGTCTAACTACAAAAAGCCGGAAAACAATTCCTTTTCTAAATCCACATTGATATTCTTCCAAAATTTTTTTAATTTCGTCTGGTAACAAACTTGAAAATATTTAATACGTTGTACGAGGCCTGTCTAAAAAGTATCCGACCTTTGGCCGAAAAAAATATTTCGAATACCTGACGGAGTTGGGACCCTAATCCCCTTCAAAGTAAGCCCCTTGTGCTTGCACACACTTAGCCCACCGATCCTTCCACTGCTGGAAACACCTCTGGAAGTCTTCTTTTGGAATGGTGTTCAGCTCCGTCGTCGCGTTCAGCACTATCTCTTCTCTACTCTCAAAACTTGATCCTTTCAGTGGCGTCTTCAATTTTTGATACAACTAGAAGTCGCAAGGAGACAGGTCTAGAGAGAAGAGAGGTTGACGAACGGTTGTAATTCTATGTTTGGCTAAGAAAGTGTGGATCAATTGGGATGAATGTGCAGAGGAGTGCTTTTTGTTCCGGCGACAACAACTTGGGTACGAATTTTGCAGCCACTCGGTTCATGTTCAAATCTTCACGTAAAATTGCATGTGCAGAATCTTTACTCACTCCAACCTCTTCTGCAATCTCTCGCACTGCCAAACGACGATCTGCCATCCCCAAATTTCGCAACCTCCCAACATTAACTGCACTCTGAGCAGTTTGAGGCCTGCCACAGCGTTGCTCACCCTCCGCTGATGTGCGGCCATCTTTGAATCGGTTGAACCACTCCTTAATTTGTGTTACAACCATCGCTTCTTCTCCAAACACCTGCTGAATCTTACGAATTGTTTGACTTTGAGAATCATCAAGCTTTTGACAGAATTTCACGCAGTATCTTTGCTCAATTCGTTCAGTCATCTTGCGAGAAAACTAAATCCGACGAACACTACGAACAGCACCTTACTTGGTGACCAACAGCCAACGAGTTGCACAAGCGAACACGGTGAAAAAATTCAGTCATGTGCATTAAGGTTCCGCTTTCCACTGTGCACTAAGGCGCCGCCTTAAAGTCACTACTTTGCGCAGGAAAAATTAAGGTCGGATACTTTTTAGACAGGCCTCGTATTTATTAAGACTACCCCTCTGTAATTTTCACAATCATACTAGTTTTTGTTGTTAAAAAAATTTTTTTTCGAAAAGAAGAAAAAGAAAAATTACTCAGGCATAAAGGAGGTTGCGCTTTGTTTAAAAAGGGAAAAAAGGGTTCACAAATTGCAAAAACATACTTTTATGGTATATTATCTGTGGAGATTTGAGTCACAAGAAATTAACCAAGAAAATAAATAATTTTATTAACTCACTTGATAAGTCATGAGAAAAATGGCTAGCTTAATCACACTCTTCAGACAGACAATGTGGTAGATTTGCGAATACGTTTCTCTAACTCCGGGTATTTCAGAATTTATTTCTTCGGATTCTGACTTGTAAATTAGGATAAAAGTCGTCACTATTAAAAAAATAACACCACTGACTTTTAAAAAACCTACAAAAACCAAATAAAGATTCATCAGTATTATTAAGCACAAAAGAACAAAATTTACAAACAGAAAGTACAAAATTTAAGGTTGCGTTCCTCTAATTTCAACCTTACTTAAATAATAGCAATTTTAGTATAACTTTTATGGCGTTTAAATTAAGGAAAATTCCAGCCATATTATTTTTTAATGTCATCTATTTATACAGCAAAAAAAGATAATAGTTTTAACAGTAAAAACCATGTAAGAAGTTTTAAGAAAATTTCTAAGCCATTTAAGAAAATTTCTTAAAACCATTTAAGAAAATTTCTAAGCGGGAAAGTTAAAATTATTTTTTAAAAGTCACAAGTGTGTATTATAATATTTATCTGAAGTTCTTATTTAAGTTATACAGTGTGTTTATAAATTCCCGGACCCATTTTGATGTTTAATAACTCATAAAATAATGAAGATATAAACAAACTTATGGCATTTATTGATGGAATAACTCATATATTTTCCTTTTCAGGTTTGAATATCTTTACTTTTGTAAATATCGTCTGCGCGTGTGGTTAATTTCAGATAATTTAGTTTTCCAGTCTAAATATCTGTACTTTTCTAAATATCGTCTGCTTATTAATTGCATTTTTCTCTCTTTTGTTTTTGGCAACTATTGCAATGTTATGTTTACT